ACGAATAGAGTTATCTACATTCACACATACCGTCACTTGGCACGAATAGAGTTATCTACATTCACACATACCGTTACTTGGCACGAATAGAGTTATCTACATTCACACATACTGCCACTTGGCACGAATAGAGTTATCTACATTCACACATCCTGCCACTTGGCACAAATATAATTATCTACATTCACACATACCGTCACTTGGCACAAATACAGTTATCTACATTCACACATACCGTTACTTGGCACGAATAGAGTTATCTACATTCACACATACCGTCACTTGACACGAATAGAGTTATCTACATTCACACATACCGTCACTTGACACGAATAGAGTTATCTACATTCACACATACCGTCACTTGGCACGAATAGAGTTATCTACATTCACACATACCGTCACTTGGCACGAATAGAGTTATTTATATTCACACATACCGTCACTTGGCATGAATAGAGTTATCTATATTCACACATACTGTCACATGGCACGAATAGAGTTATCTACACTCACACATACTGCCACTTGGCACGAATAGAGTTATTTACATTCACACACACACCGTCACTTGGCACGAATAGAGTTATCTACATTCACAGTTAAGCTGAATTAGATGTCCCTACAAGTCTGTTTTATCACGTATTAGTGCATATTACCAGTAGTACATCCTGCATGTTACCAGTAGTACATCATGCACGTTTCCAGTAGTACATCCTGTATGTCGATAGAATGAACGTTTTACTTCCTCGTATATTTCACCATCTTCCTGACGTGATTTACCGCCAAAATTAACTAGCTGAATAAATTAATTTTTGATAGTATTTAGTTCGTAATAAACATAAACAAGAAAGTTAGCAGTAAAATAATGATAACTCCCCCCCCCCCGCAATACCATGAAATGAACAATACTAAAAAGTGTTGAGTACAAAGCGGGCGTAGCCTAGCGGTTAGTATACTCGGACCGTGAATCCGAGAGTTCATGGTTCGCGGCCCGCTGCCTTAAAGTCGCGATGTGCACTTTTAGACCGTGGGTGAGTTATAAGAGTGGCAGTGAAATCCCACTATTCTATCAGATAAGAAAAGGTCAAGAGTCAGCGGTGGGTGTTGTTTATTAGGTGTCTTCCATTGTGTTTATCGGCTCAAGCTTAGGAATGGCTACGCACTGCTCGAGCTTTGTGTAGCTCTGATCAAAACTTCTGAAGCAAACAACTAAGTTGTAGGGGCTTGATAATCTGAATCTTAAGAAAGCAAACAGAGCAATATTATTAATTTGAAACTTGAAGCAAACAACTAGTGTTCGTGTATTACGTGAGTAAAAGTTTCAGTTACAATGATTAATATTTCTAGTTTCTCTGGGTTATTTTTTGTATCATTATACTTATATTACTAGCGAAAGTACCCTGCTTCGCTCGGATTATTAGGTTGATTTATTCTAGATGACTATGTCAGTGTGTGTATTCTGAACCCATTTTAGCATAAAAGTATAGCCTATATGCTTTTGTTGCACTTTTACGGCAGCGTTACCCAATCTTATTTGGCCACGAAACACTTTTAAGCTGAGAAAAAACTTACGGAACACTAGACACGTGAAATATCACAGCGCCCTCTAGATTTGTATATTATTCATTTATTTATTTAATCAAATTGCACATTAATGAATTTTTACATTTTTATGTCTATAATATATTTTAGATACAAACCTCTCCACTAAGATATTGTTACGTCTCCGGTTGTTAATTGATTTTTCCGT